TCCAGCTCATCGGGTCCTGGGAACAGCTTTTGGGCCGCCGCCCTGAATCCTTACAGGCAGCAGACGGGTGTCGGGCTCCGAGTTGGGGTTTTTCCCTGGAGATGCGTCGGGGTTTTCCTTCAGGTCAGGAATGAAGGAGGGCCCGCGGAGCGGAGTGACTCTAGTACTCCTGCTAAACCTGTCCTGGGATTTAGGGAGTGCTTCCTAGTAGTGTCAGTGGAACTCGGGAGCGATTTGCTGAGATGGACGCTTACACCCATGCCATGCGTTCTCCTTCTGTAGCTGGCTCAGTGTATTCAACCTGTGTGTTACTAGTATGTATGTCTAGTAAACGAGTTAAGTTTGGGGTAGGGAGGCTGATTTTTACAATGTTTCGTGAAGGTCGGGTCTGAAACAAAACACCGTTTGTGTTCTTTCAGGCTTCTGGGTTTGTTTTTTTTTGTTTTTTTGTTTTTTCTTTTGCTTAGCGTGTCGCTGGCCTTTTGCGTAATGCAAGTGTCAGGTGATTGCACATGCATTGTCAACAGTTCTGTCTTGTCATATGAAACTACGGGCTGGGAAGAGTGAGAAGGAAAGATCTTTTATATAGTGTTTTGTACATAATTAACACCTGGAGATCTGGCGTGTACATGTTTTTTTCTGGAGGCTTTAATATTAATAGTGATGTTGATTTTTTCAGTTTCGGTTTCAAGTCTTTTTTTGAACAGCCTCTGGACTAAAATGTTTGGGTAGGTTTTTTTTTTGTACATTTAACTCATCAGAAATGTCTAAAAAGTAAAAAAGAAAGTGGAATGTATAGATAAGGCTGAAGTAATGGACTATTGGGAAAGAGGGAAACCTGTTAATTTGACTAATACAATATTTTCTACAACTGAAAGGATTAGAAATTATTTTTTGGCACAATCGGGTTGAGATTGCTGGGTACTCATGACACTTTTTACGACCAGCTTCTGTACTCGCTGCTTTTTAGCTTGGGCAAAATGGCTTTGTCAAATATCTGCACCCCAGTTGTAAATACTTACTCTTATTTTGAAATGATTGGTTTTGACAGAATTACTGAGCAGTCACTGGTAGCTTGAATGAGGTATTTACTTTTAAAATGTTTGGTTAGAAGCAGTTGGTTGTTACTCAAGTCAGTAACTAAAAGCTGTTGTGTTAAATAGCGCTGGTGCTTTATAGGAAGTTTTTTATATCTGCTGTAACTCTTGCAGGTGCGTGGGTGTGAAAGAGACAGATCCCTGTTACCAGAGGCAGTTGTCACACAATCCCCTTCCTGAGCTGGTTGGGTTCTGTTAAGAGCTCATGATTAACGAATTGCGTAATTTAACATGGGACTTTTTCTTCAAATACTTGGAAGTTAATAAAGCAGTGGTAGAATCAGCTGTTTTCTAAAAATGCATGTTGTGTGCGCACTAGTTCCTGAATTAAGGACCTGATAAGTAACGTTGGTCTGATCAGAGTGAGAAGAATCATCTGGAATGAAGCAGTCTCTGACTTCATTTAGTGATAGACTGCAAGTTAGACTGCACTTAATCAAGCCTGTTGCTTAGATTTTTGATGTTTTAATTTGAAGTGATTTTGGTACACGATAGATCACAAAAAATTGGGAATTTGAGATGACATGAAGTCTTGATTGTCAAATGTAGTGTTACAGCATTTAAATGAAGGGTGAGGTTCAGGTGTTTAGATTAACATTCTATCATTCAAATCACTGTAAATTCTGTATTATTAAAGTGTTCTTTTCAGCAAGGAACTCTTATACTTTTGGATGTGCAGCCTACTTGATGACAAATAATTAGTACTTCTAATTTTTTTTTTCTTAGTTTGGACGTACTTCCGAGGGTGACTTGCCCCAATCATCCAGATTCCATTTTGGTGGAGGATTACAGAGCTGGTGATATGATTTGTTCGGAGTGTGGGCTAGTAGTAGGTAAGTAGCTATTCGTATTTTTATGAATTACCATAAAACTTAAATTGTAGATGGGTTTTCCCATGAAATTGGCGTATGATAATGTGAATGTTAAAAGGCCTTTTCTTGATGCCGAAATGTTTTCTTCTGTGATATTCTGTTGGCTAAAAGCTCACTGCTTTGAATAGTCTTCTCTTCTTGTAACTTCTTGCATTATGAAAAGAATCGAACTCTCTTTAAAGATAGAAAATTTAAAATATGTTGTAATACTGAATTAGACTATTGTGTTCTCTATTCCAGTATTCTGTCTTTAATCACGACTCTTGTTTCAGTCAGGAAAGTGGAAGAGATGTAATAAAAGCTCTTTGTCAAATAACTTGCTTATACACCACCCCACCCCCCCAAAAAAATCTGAATTTCCCATTAGTTAGAAGTTACCTTCTGCCCTGAAGGATTTCTCTTTATACCCTTGCCAGCACCTGGTTTTGTTACTTACTTCTCCTAAGGCTTTTGATGCTATCTGGAGTAAATACCCAGTTTTTTCCTCTGGAATCTTGCTGAGCTCTTTTACTTGGTTCATGTGGCAGCAACTTCCACAGGCCAAACTGTGTTTCTAAGTATAATGGGGTATTTAAACTGAAAGGCCTTTTAGGCATTGTCCTTGCTTGAATGAGGGAGAGGCAGAGAATCATGTCGTCACAGAAGGAGCTGCATAGTCATTTTTGTGTCTTTCCTAGGATGACATCTTGTCGTACATCTTGCTGTCTTCATTCCTTGGGCATGGGAAACTTCTCATGCTGTGATCGTTCGTTAAACCTCATTTATTTCTAATAAATTTTTTTAGATGTGCCATGACCCAAAGAAAATCCTCTGTTTTGCGGAGGGTGCGTGTTCAGGTGATTCATTCAGTGGTGCTAAATATTTCAGCTGGTTTTATATCCCTCTGTCCTAGACCGTGGTGATTTTGTTTTGCCTCTTGTCTTGCAGTGAGTTAAAAATTTATATACAGCTGTTAGTGTAAAGTTAAAGGTTTAGTAAGTTGCAGCAAAAGTCATTTCACTGGGTGACTGAAATAAGTCTTTTGTTTATGCAAAAAGCAAACTTCCTCATAGCTTATTAAAGTAAATGCTGAAATATTTAAACTTGAGTATCGGTTTCCTTTAAAATTGCAAAACCGTTTAAAAGGCTAGGGGGAGGATTGTTACTTGCTTTCTTAAAAGAAGGGCTGCTTTAAATTGCATAAATTCTGATAAATGCATCGTAATAAATTTGGTTAAAAATTCAAATGTCCACAGCAGTATTTCCTGTTGAAATATGGCAATAGGCTTCTAAGGTCCTGCTTTAAAAGAGTTTGGGCCACGTTCAGCTCTTTGTTTGGCTGCCATAGAAGCTGAACTAAAGTTTAGAAAAGCCCATCTTGATCAGTTCAGAACTTCTAAGCTAATTCTGGCTTTAGAAGAAGAGGGAAAGGTTTTGCTTGATAAGTTTCATTTTTAGCAACTTGGGAGTTTATCAAAAACCTCACTTTGTGTACCCTCTGTTACCCAGTCACAAGGTATTCTTGCTTTAGGGATTTGCTCTCTGTTGAATCAGTGGTGTTGGAGATTTCTGTAGTTCAAGTTGTCAGCGTTTTTGGTGAGCAGAATCATGAAAATATGAGAACAAACTTTTGCTGAGTTGAATTTTTAAAATGGTCTCGGTCCTCTTTACAGCCAATGTTACTGGTAGGGTAAAAAGTGTATTTTCTTTAAGCATTTAAGGTTTGTTTTTTTTTTTTTTTTAAATAGGCCTTTCTGTGGATTTATCACTAAAAGGCTTTAAGATTTGCTGTCGTGCTGTTTGTTCTCATTCTGTCTTGCCTGCCTTCAGCAATTTGGTTTACCTACGTGCATCCAGTTCATTAGCTAGGGTATCTAGCAGCTAGTTTGGAAAACCAGTTAAATCAGATGAAGGTAAATAATTGAAGAGTGCGTGACCAAACAGAAACGTGAACATTCAACATTTTCTCTTCTGGTTTGGTAAGAAATTTAGAGGAGGAGAGAAACGGATCCAATTCTGATGCTGTTTTCTGGAGATGCGTGTGAAGTAGGGATGTTTTAAGGGAGTGAAGACAAAATCATGTTTCCAGGTGAGAAAATTTTTATGTAGGTGTCGCAGATTCCATGAGACGTGTTCCCCTTGACAGAGTAGCGATTTCAGTTCCTGTTCTTGCATAGAAAAGTCGTGGATTCGTGTTTCGAGGCTTACATAGGTCATGATGTGCGTGGCTGATAGGAGCAGGGCCCACTGAGGGTGTGTTTTGAGCTGGGCTGAAAGTGAACGAGATCTTTGTCACTGAAGGGGATCAACTAGGACAGTTAAACCCCCGCTGAATGCACTCTGTAGCCAAAGCAGCGTTACAGGTTTATTTACAACTGGTTTGATTTTGCCGTCTGCAGAGCACTGCTGGTGTGGGAGGGGCAGAGTGGTGAATGCCAAATGTGTGCATTTGTTTTGCTGCTCTAAAGTACATAGTGACATGACGTCACTGACTTTTTTTTAAAAAAAATTTGTTTTTTAGTACAGTTTAGCTGAAGTCAGCGTAGAGGCTTTGACTAAACTAAGTGTATTTTCACTTGATGTTTTTTGTGCGTGCTGTGGCGAAGTACTAAAGCTTCACATTTATGGAAAAAGCGCGAGTTTATTAAACACAGAACTGGGTCATAGGATAAAATGGCTGGTGCGTAGGTAATTTTTGGGTTTTGTCATCAATCTCCTGGGAATCTGAGATTAAATCAGAATTATTAGTATTATGACTGAGGTTGCATTTATCAGGTCTGTAGCTGAAAGGGTGAAGCGGTGGTAATGTTTAGGGGGAGGAGGAGCTGCTCTCTTAACCGTTGAATTCCGTGTCTTAGAGCTGTATATTAGAAGTACTGCTTTTGAAAGGGATTTTTGAGAGAGATTTTTAATCGAAGTTGTTTTATACTCATAGGTGGTGTTCTTGGTGTCTCGGCAAGATTGAAATTCTAAGTTAAATCCAGGATGCTGCCTTCTCTTTGCGCAGCGTTTTTCGCTGGTTCTAAATCAACTGTGCTGCTTTGCTGTGCAGTGTTAAAAGAATTCAGTCTTGTAGTGTCAGTCATGCTGAAGCTGGTGGCTGTTTTATTATTGCTTCAAAATACCACTTCAGTCTACAAAAAACTCTCATCTGCCTTTTCAGTGTCCTGGCTTAGCTGGTGTTCTGTCTTCTCGTGGTAACCGTTTCCAACTCGTTAACTCTTCCTCCTGCTAATGCCTTTTGCATGAAGGGCAGTCGGGGACCTAAATTGCAGTTATCCATGGAATTTTGATCCTAATCTGGATTGATAGCATCTGAAACTTCACAAGTCTGTGTCTGAGTTGCGTTTGCTGTCTTAACTCCTGTGTTTTATTATATATACTTCACTCAAATCGTTCTAGGATGTGTATGGTACGGTGTTTGTGTGCCGGCTTGAGAATTCACAAACAGAGTTCTTGGTGTTTGGAGAAGTAGTTAGTTTTGTTTTCATCTGAAGCATTGACCATATCTCACTCTTCCGACAGACTTGGTGTGGGGAGAAGCATTTTGTCCAAGAACATAAGGCTAGTAAATCCTCTTTCTTGACAGGTGACTGTTTCACTTACTACCTTTTAGGCAGTAAAAAAGGCTGGAAGTCAGATGATACACCAGAAAGGGCTGAAGAAAGCAGAATCGAAGTGGAACACAAAGCACTGCATTTTCTTGATGTAGCAAGGTGGTGAGCTGAATTTCGGAGGGGGATAAGAATGGGTCTAGTGGCATGTACAGCCGTGTAGCATCTCAGCTAGGGAGGAGTACCTTTCTGATCTACGACTTCCCTTAACCTTCTGTACAGCTTCATTAAATGTTGCCTTAGTGTGCAGGAGCTGGAGCAGCGAGGAGTTTATTTGCAGCTTTCGGGAAGTGACTTTCTCTAACGCTGTCCGCTGCAGGAGGCAGGGAGGGCTTGGAGAAGAGTGCTCTTGTCTGGGGTCTCTTTGGATAGCCGCCTCGAGGAAAAAAGCGCAAGTCTGTCTTCAGCTGATGAGAATCCTTGGACATGTATCAACGTGATAAAGCTTTCAATCAGATTATGACCTGTATTCAGATGTTTATTCCCTGTTCTCTGTATACCCGAGTGTTCAGTTAAAGAATTTTGGGGGAAAACGTTCAATAGCTTGTGGCCGGCAGTAAGGCCGTTAGGAAATCCTGTCGGAGCGCTCGGTTGGCTGATGCTTCTGCAAAGTTTGAGATCGAAATGGTGCATCTTAAATTCGGGTATGGCCTGTGGAGAACAGATCAGATTTAACTATACTGCAGGTTTTTCTCTACAATACAACAAACAAGTAGGAAGGGGTTTTGTGATCGCCGCTCTGCTGGCCAGTCCATTACTCAGGAAGTCTGTCATTAGGGATAAGATTGATTGTGTCTGTAAGGAGATGCTTGTTTTCTGAAAACCAAAGAAACCTTTGTTGGTTTTTTTCCAGCTGTTGGTAGTATCCTGTAAGTGGAGAAGGTGCTTAAGTCCTTGTGACTTGGATCCAGTAGAGGGCAGTTAGGTCTATTCTAGTATCTTTATACCTCCAAATGGTGAAAAGTCTTTTCATGTTTGGGTGTATATTCATGGTTATTTCTTTCTGTGAGTATTATCAACACTGAAAGTAAAATGTGAAGTCTCAATTTAAAGTATTACTTAAATAAGTAGGCAGAAATCTTCAGATGCGGATGTGTCTTGGCACCTTACATCTGGTTACTGCTTCCACATTTGGTGTCCAGAGCACGAAATAGTGTCTGACAAAAGTTAGTCCTTGCAAATAAAACTCTTTGCATCCCCAGGAAAGCTAATTATAAGGGATGCTGATACTTAAAGGAATTCTGAATAGTTGACTTCTGCCTGAGCATTCATGGATGCTGGATTCACGCAGGGAATTTGTAATATGAAGAGAGTGTTTGCTAGCCTTTTTCAGTCAGCTTTTCAAACAGTCTGTGGTTTAAGTGTAACCCAGTCCAGCTTCAGAGATGAGGGTGATGGTTCTAGGTGTTTCAGCAATAACGCTGGTGGCAGTGGAAGCTTAGAGTTTAGGTGTGAAAAGCTGGTGACTTTTTCAGGCTTTGTAATAAGCACTGCTCTTGGCATGAGAGCTCCTGGAGGGTGGAGGGGATTTTCTAGAACCAGAGGTGTTTGAGAGCTGTTAGTTGTAGTGCTAGATTTATTATCTAGTGGAATAACAGTAACACTTTGAATCATCCTATTTAGGGAATGTTTTTTTCTCTTGCTTCCTTATCAGATTGGCAAAGTGGTTTAAGGTAAATAAGGGCTAGAAAAGATCTGAACTCCTCTGGATGGAAGAAGAGTCCAAAACCTCTTATTTTTGTGACATAGTATCAGGCACGAGATTTTTCATTGAGATTCTGTAGTCTGGAGCATCCTTCACAAGTACTTGAGCTGCTGTCTTTTTAAAGGTCCCAAGTTCTGCAGAGGTGTAACTACAGCTGACCAGACGTGCCCACCAGATTGTTTAACGTTTCTACTCTCATTTGCTTCCTCCAAAATTACTACAAGTTGATGGCTTAGGAAGCCTGGAAGTCCTTTTAAATCTGTTACCATTTTGAAATGCAGGATCTGCTCAACCTTTGTTTTTGTAGCAGTCGTTTGCCTGCAGTGCTAGCCTGTTTCAAGCCATAGTTGTCTGGAGGTTCTGGTTTGATGCTGTTGATGTCTGGCAACGAGTTGAAGTGCTCTGTGGATTTCTTTTTTAAATTTTTTTTTTTTTTTTGTTATTTCAGCTGAGTCTTGTGAATATGCTGGTGATGATGCATTTGTGGTGTTGACAATTCACTGAAAACAAGGAATATTACTATTGTACAAAAGGCTGGAAATGTTGTAGAAAAAGCTGCGATTGTAAAATTGTGGGTCGTCCCCCCCAAGAGTTTATTCTTTAGTAACATTTAATATATCTGGTCTTAAATAGAAGTTTTGTAGCTGAAAACTGGGAGGAAAAAAAAAAAGGTAGTTTAATTTATATTTTGGAAGCTATGAAGCTGAGTACTATTGCGTGGGGCAGTGCCTAAGCTAGTAAAGAGAAAGAGGAGGAACAGATACCTGGACTGCTGTGAACTCTGGGTCCTCAGTACCAGGAAGACAGAGACTTGCTGGGGCAGAAGGTGGCAAAGATGCTGGAGCATCTTCATACGAGGAGAGGCTGAGGGCTGGGACTGTTAGCTGGGGGAGAGGGCTCCCTTCAGCCTGGCTCTGGGCAGTTACTTGTCTTCTTGATTCTCCCCAGCTCATAGGCTGCTAGCTAGGTTTTTCGTTGTAGTTTGTCTCAGCACCTCATTAATGAGGAGTTGACTGAAATGAATTGTAATTCTATGTGTTTTTTTAAAAATTTGGCACTGGAAATGCTTTTAATTAAAAGTTAAATATATGTGCTCACTAGATGGCAGCAGATTCCTCAACTAAACTGTAAGAATGAAGCATTCTGTAGAAACAATACGAATTTTGGTACTTTAAAGTGCAAATAAACTCTAATACCATGTTTCTGTTAAGTTTAAAATACTAGTTAATAACACGTAGAACTTGATGCAATGTGCAGCTAACATTAGAGTTCCTCTGAGAGAGACTTAAGAACGTACCTTCTCAGAACTGTTTCAAGATTGGATATGGAAGATAACATTACTCGGGGCTTGAGTTTCATCCTCGTTCTTGTTTTGATTAAACATCTTTAATTTGCAGCTATATTGTCTTCATAGAACAGATAACACAAAATGCAAAAAGAGAATAAAATACATGTGTATTATGAGGTTTTGCAAGTGGAGTGCAACAGTGGAATAGCTGCTGTTATTTCTCTATAAATATGTAATTGCAAATTCAAGGCTTGTTGCATGATAATATTTTCCTTTGAGAAATCACTTTCTTTTTTTGGGGGGTGGGGTGGGGGAGTAAACATACATAACTTGTGATGTGCAGAGATTCTAAGCTAATTTTAAAAACCTGTTCAAAGTGATACTTCAGGTTTTGTTACTGACCTGAGTTTACTCTTTCCTTCTGTAGTGTGTGTGCTCTTTGCGTTGGGCAGTTGTGAAGAAAAGTAACCTTGGGCTGAGGTTTTCTGTTCCGAGTAACAGTTCTGCGTTGTACTAAATGAGCTTTTCAGCTGGTGGGTAACCTGAGTCAGTGCAGTCTGCGTTTCCTCTAGAGCCTGAGTGTTTGTATTCTGAAGAGTAGCTGAGTACTGGGAGAGGGGTTGATGAAATGAAATGGGGCAATGGAGGAAAAACTCGTATGTTCTGAAAGATGCTTCAGGATACCAGTCTGGAGATGGGTTCCACAAAGCTGTAAATGGCGTTTTTGTACGTACTTCAGAGGAGGAAGCCGAGGAGATGAACTCATCTGTTTGATGGAAATCAAATAAAGGCGTGTCTAATGTAACCATATACGTAGTGAAGCTTATTTTTGTTCAGAAGGGCTGCATCAAAAGGAAGTAGTGAAGGGAACAGGCAGCCACTCCCATGCTTATCACAGCTCAGTACCCTTGCCAAAACCAATATAATAATGCTGTGAGAAAGCACAGGCGATTTTTAGAAGGTACTTATTTGGACCTTTCTTTAACTCTGAGTTTTGACTGTCAGACCCGTTTTCAGGTGCTTCAGGAAATCCAGTCAGTAGTGTATGACCCAGGACATTCCATTTGGGGCCTGAAACGTTAACTTGGGACTAATCTTCAGGGGTGATGCCTTAACGCTGCTTTTTCTAAGACTGACTTTAGTATTTTAAGGTTTTGTTTCAGTCGCTTAGGGCGGGGCTTAACTGCATCCATACTAACATCACAGTTCTGAAGTGTTTTTGGAATTTTGAAGAGTTAAAAATTACAAATGCCTCATTTTATTTTATTTTTTTTTTCCTGTGTTTGTCCAATGGAGTAATTAGCTGCTTGTAGCTGAGTATACTTCCCATCTATGGAAAACTTTTGGCCTATTTGTTCCATTTTCGTTAATACTTCTAGCTCTCGTCACACTTCTATAAAAGTGGTGGGATGCACTTCCTAGGACCTCTGTATATTTTTAACTAAGACACTGAGGGTACACAGAAAAACTTAATTTCTGCAATAGCAGATTTCTTGGCAAAGTAAAGAAATTTGCGTACTGCATCTTAACCACACAAATGCTTTATGTTCGGTGATTTGTTCTACTTCATCTTTTCTCACTCTGACATAAGAGTCTCAGGCCTCTGTTTGTCATATGTTTGCCAAAGCGGGCAGTGATAGAACACTTTTTTGTGAGAGCAAAAGTTCATAACTCACAAGAGGCCGATCCCTGAGTGAGTCATTTAGGTCATTCCCACTTGTGTGGAAAAAATATTACATCATTGCCCTGTACTCAGTGTTCTATTTATACCATGCCAGAATTTTAAGTACATTTTGCTTTTTTTAGATGCTGTAAACAGTATTGGGGGGTTGTCTTCAAGTAAAGTTACTGCTAGGCCATAGAAGGAGCACTGCTGAATCAAATATTTACAGAGCGCCCAGGAGCTAGAGGAGCACGCTGTCTGCTAAATTTAAGCTTGCAAGGGGTGGGGGAGACCTTTGTAGCGGAAAGAATGGCTCTGTGCCTTTTTTTATTTTACTGTGCTATATTCTTAACCTTCTAGTTTTTGATGATTTTTTTTTCTTTTCTCTCCCCCTCTTGGTTTTCATGAGAGCGGTAAGTAAAGGCGGAGTGCTGCTGCGAGCATGTCTGGCAAATATTGATGAGGACACCTCTAACCTAAATTTATTCTTTTTGGTTGTGGTGATTTCTGAGGATTCATTCACAGCTTTCAAATTCAAGCATATTCCTTGCATAACTTTGTGTTAAGAATAAAGCTCCCCATTCAGAATAGATTCCCCCCCCCCC